GTCACCTGGTCATAGAAGGAGATCAGGTAGGCATTCTTGTACTTCTAAAGGGTATAGCTAAATACATAAAAACCTGGATATTATGAAAGATATGTCAAATTGAGATGAACCATTGTGGTAGTATCTCAAAATAACCAGTGCAACTCTTAAGGCAACAGAAAAAACACTTTAGGCAACTTCTTTATTTTTCTGCTCTATTAAGACCAGTATGTTAAGTAGTCACATGTCAGAAAGAGTCATGAAGGTTTAGATGAATGTATCCTTCATACATAGACTATTTTGAAAAAAATATATAGAACTGTATCTGGTACAATAAAAATGTACAAGTCCTCTTCTCCAGGACAGCTAACAAGAAAGAAAAGACACCTACATTATTCTCAGCTGCAGAGTTGATATGAAACAAATAAAGTGACATTTTAATCCTGAGAAGAAGGTCATACACAATCTGACAGGATGCATGCAGACAGATTCCTTCAGAGACTTCTCGGGTGTACACACAGTAAGGAAGAGTCTCGGAACCTTTCCTATTGAGACTTTATTCCATGTGGTGATAGAAGGTTACTATACTAGCACACATCGTTAGTAGTTTTCTAACAAACAACCCTTTATTTCCTCAAGCTATGAGAGACAATGAATTTAAGTTAGCAGTCAGGATAACGTACTGCTAAAGATTTTAAATAACAGTACTCCCACTAACTGAAAACCAACAGTACCAAAATACTACAAACCAGACATAATATCCTGCAGAGTTTAGGGTAAAGATATGGATGTCTCATTACACTTTTCCTCCCCTTGCAGACTTTTTACTTACAATATTTTTGAAACTTTTTTTTTTCAGTATCATTCTTATAATAAAGTCAATGTGTTTAGTTTTTTGTAGGAAGTTGAGCAGAACACCCATTAGGTGCCAGCGTCACAAGCCTCAAAACTTTAAGGCATTTCTGTCTTCAAAAACAGAGCTAAGAACTTCAAACCTGCACAGCTTTCAGCAAGGAATGTGAGCTCTTCATAGGCCCATTTTATTTTAAACCAGAAACTTCAGCCACAAACAGGAAAGTCGATTTTACTGAAACATGACCAGATTAACAGTGCACAGTACTGTTTTGTTCTTTTTTTCCCCCTCTTTTTTTTAATTACATAGAGAAAACTGATTTTAACACCTAAACCTGCAGACAAATCCACTGACACATAGCATATTTAAGCACCAAAACTACTGTCACCCAAGAGGTAGCTGTGGTACCAGCAGTGCAGATGGATCATTCTTCAGTACAAATGATAAATCCAACCTTTCCTTCTACTGTGTAACTCTTGGCTGGACAAAGTGTTCTTTCTGCTATCAATGCTACCTGTTGAAATTAAGACCACGCAGAAGGGAAAGCTGTTTCAGTCAAAAGCAGCAAAATGTTCCCCTACAACCTGCCCCCTGCCCATTCCTGCTCACCAGTCTGATGTGACTGAAGGGAAAGGCAGCACCTAGACGCTGCTGGGAAAAATACCATCACTAAGATTTACCGACGGAAGAAATAAATCTGACAAGAAGGTGGAGCAACTGACTGGACAAAGATGGGGACAAACAATTGAAAACCGGGACAAAAAGCATGACAGCGCCTGGGAACAGGAGAGCTAGATAAGAATCCTGGATCAGGGAACAAGGCATAGCCAGGCAAAAGGAATGGGCAATGTTCAGGTGGGACGGGCAGAAGAACACGTTGCTACTTTGGTGCAGTAACTTCCTGACCCTATAAAGGAATCCAAGACCTACAAACCTCAGCACACCTCTGTACACAGCAGCTATTAATGAAAACTACTCGTCGCACATGTCTATTCATCTTGCAGTGCTCTCGCACCCAAAGGACAGTAAGATATAACATACAGTTAATTCTATTTGAAAACCAAGAAAACCCTACTAAGCCTACAAGTCCAAGCCCCAGAAGTTAGAAAGAATTCAGAGCCACTTTTGAAACTTTAATTCATCCTCTGTATCTCAATGTAGTCTTCATATTTCAATATATAACGTACTTTTCCACAACAGTCTTAACTCACCAAGTACTCTGAGTGGACCTGGTTCTAAAGCATACAGCAGTCTCAAGTCAAAAACACTGCACGTGGCAGCAGTACAACAGAAAACAGCATTCCTTAACTCGCACACTTGACCTGGTGATTTCAATAGCACTCTTGTAACATTGTTTGCATTTGAACTAACATATTTCAGTGTGCGTGCATTACAATGACTACATCCATTAATCAATGCAAAACTGCATCACATCATAATTGCAGTATTACAACATACCATACCATAGGTTCTGAGATAGCATCTTGTAAATAGAAACAAGATATTTCTTGGACCTAAAGACAGCATAACTGTAAGCACTGTGCTTGTTTCTAAATCATATATACTCTGTCAGATAGAACTGCTTGAGACATTTTACCAAGAATGAGCAACCTTTTATTTTAGTTTCTTTGTAAAATCTCGGATTTTACTAATAAAAGTAAATCATGGTAAGATTCCAGTTATGCACAGAATGTAAGCGAGAGTTTTCACTTCACTCCTACTTATTTCCTCTTCTTGATCTGAGGTAACAGGATGCAGAAGGCAGCCAAAAGAGCTCAAATTAGACAGAATATATAGTCATATATAAAGTAATGTTCTTAAAAGTAATGTGCTCCTCCTTTTAGGCAGCTGTAGAATGTATCTGAGAACAGACACAGAATTAAGAGAGATCAAGGAGAGGTCTGGAAAAAAAAACCACAGGTACAGGAATTCTAAGTGGGAAGTGTTAAATGTAAGACTACCCAGTACAGAGTAAGAAAAGCAAACGGAAAAGGTTAAGTCCTGTATAAGAGGTTACCATACAGATAACAAAGATACTAAACCCGAGAGTAATGAAGCAGTAGCTGAAAACAAATCAGCTGCAACAAAGAAAAACAAAACTTACCGTAAGGGGAGGAAAGAACAGACTAAGACAAACAAAGAGTCAAGATAAAAGCACTAGAAAGACATGAAAGAGTCCTGGACAAAGAACACCCAGGATGAGAGGGAGAAGAATTATAAAGTCAGAAACTAAGGACAGGCCTGCTAGACACTGCAAGGTTGACACCTAACTTCAGCGTTGGAGCACTGCATTACTCAAACACAGTTCCACTTACAGAAGAGATGACCTACTTAAATCTTGTAATGCAATTAAAATATTGAAACAGGTGGAAAGCATATTAACAGAACATAGTTATTCCCCTAAAATTTGGTAACTTAGTATCCTCCAAATTCCTAGAAATTTCCACTTCCTCCTAATTTTAAAATTTTCCTGAATTAAAGCAGACCATGTCTTACCCAACTGACAACACACTGATGCAGAACAGTGTATGAGGAGCAAACCCTAAACGAAAAAGCCCAAAGAAAAATATTGATGGAACCACAAATAGTACTTTAGTCCAAGTTTTGCTTGTATTACTAGAGTAGCTTGATCACTTTAAATACCACTTATTAATCAAAAACCCAAAATCATGTACTGTTCTCTTCAAAGTTTAGAGAGTCAAAAGCAGAAACCAGTAGTTTCTGCAATGCTATCAACACTACTTTTAGAATGCTTAATGTATTTCAGCAGCAAAAATAAGAATGCTAGAATCTGTCAAATAAATGGAAAAAATTATAATTATACAATCTTATTAAGAATACAATTATTTATAGTTACCAGCTGCAATTCTTGCTGCTTTGGCATAGTTTCCATTTTCAATACATGATATCAATTCACTTCGGTCTTCCAGTGTGTGTCTTCGTATAAGTGCAGGCTTACCTTTACCACACTTTGGTAGGCTGAAACTACGAAAGTATTAATATTAAAATCATTACCTGATAATATTGTTCACTATAAATCAAGACTTTTAAAAAGAATTTAAAATTCATCACTACACAGTAAATTCAGAGCAGCAAGCTCTAACAAATTTTATGTAACAAACACAAATAGCAACATAAAAGCCAAACACCTAGATTATTTTCATGCACAGAATTGCCTGGTTATCAGCAAAAGACCAATAGTATGCAAATGCACCTCAACTGCTGTACAGGTTATACATGCACAAATGAGAGAAGGTGCTTTGTCTCCAGTATTATAGTGGATACTGGCCAAATGAAAACATTTCCCCTCTGCTCCAACAGTTCCACTACATAGGAAACAATTATTTTCTCTTTCATTTTTCACTACAAGTCCAAGTCTTTCAATCATGGAATGTCTATACACATAGAATCTGAACAGCAATCATTGTAGATCAAACAGATCATTCCTCAGGAGTGATGCATCCTAATAAAGAGGAAGTCAGGCAAAGATGCCAGGAGGCCTGCGTGGATGAACAAGGAGATCCTGAACAAAATCAAGCATAAAAAGGAAGCTTACAGAGCATAGAAGCAAGGACAGGTAGCCTGGAAGGAATACAGAGAACTTGTCCGAGCAGCCAGGGATCAGGTTAGGAAAGCTAAAGCCCCAATAAGAATTAAATTACATCTGGTCAGGGAGGTATAGGGCAACAAGAAAAGCTTCTATAGGTATGCTGGTAAGAAAACCAGAAGACTAGGGAAAATGTGGGCCCTCTCCACAAGGAAACAGGACACCTGGTTACCCAGGATACAGAGAAGGCTGAGGTACTCAAGGACTTTTTTGCCTCACTCTTCACTGGCAAGTGCTCAAGCCACACCACTCAAGTCAGAGAAGGCAAAGGCAGGGGGGCTAGGAGAATGAACTGTCCACTTGTAGAAGATCAGGTTCAAGACCACCTGAGGAACCTGAACATACACAGGTCTTTAGGACCTGATGAGATGCATCCCAGAATCCTGAGGGAGTTGGCTGATGTAGCTGCCAAGCCACTATCCACCATATTTGAGAAGTCGTGGCAGTCTGACGAAGTTCCTACTGACTGGAAAAGGAGAAACATAACCCTCATTTTTGAAAAGGGGAAAAAAGGACAATGTGGGCAACTACAGGCCAGTCAGTCTCACCGCTGTGCGTGGCAAGATCATGGGGCAGGTCCTCCTGGAAACTATGCTAAAGCACGTGGAAAATAAGGAGGTGATTGGTGACAGCCAACACTGCTTCACTAAGGGCAAATTGCATCTGACAAATGTGGTGGCCTTCTATGATGGGGCTACAGCACTGGTGTATAAGGGAAGAGCAACTGATGTCATCTACCTGGATATTTGACACTGTCCCACATGATGTCCTTATCTCTAAACTGGAGAAACATGGATTTGATGGATGGACCACTTGGTGGATATGGAATTGGCTGGATGGCTGCATTCAAAAAGTTGCGGTCAACAGCTCAATGTCCAGGTGGAGACTAGTAACAAGTAGTGTTCCTCAGAGACAGTCTCGGGACTGGTGCTGTTTAACATCCTTGTCAGTGACAAGGACAGTGGGACTGAGTGCACCCTCGGCAAGTTTGCTGATGACACCAAGCTGTATGGTGCAGTCGACATGCTAGAAGGAAGAGATGCCATCCAAAGGGACCTTGACAGGCTTGAGAGGCGGGCCCATGCGAACCTCATGAAGTTCAACAAGGCCAAGTGCAAGGTCCTGCATGTGGGTTGGGGCAATCCCAAGCATAAATATGGGCTGGGCAGAGAATGGATTGAGAGCAGCCCTGAGGAGGAGGACTTCAGGGCACTGGTTGATGAGAAGCTCAATATAACCTGGCAATATGTGCCTGCAGCCCAGAAAGTCAACCATATCCTGGGCTGCATCCAAAGAAGCGTGACCAGCAGGTCAAGGGAGATGATTCTGCATCTCTACCCTGCTCTGTGAGACCCCACCTGGAGTCCTGCATCCAGCCCTGGGGCCCCCGATATAAGAAGGACATGGACCTCTTGGAGCAGGTCCAGAGGAGGGCCATATAGATGATTAAAGAGCTGGAGCACCTCTCCTATTAAGACAGGCTGAAAGAGTTAGGGTTTTTTGGCCGGAAGAAGAGGGACTTTTTACAATGGCATGTAGTAACAGAACAAGGGGTAATGGCTTTAAACTAAAAGACTGTATATTTAGACTAGACATAAGGAAGAAATTCTTCACTATGAACGTGGTGAGGCAGTGGAACAGGTTGCTCACAGAAGTTGTGGATGCCCAATCCCTGAAAACATTCAAGGTCACATTGGACGAGGCTCTGAGCAACCTGAAGTTGAAGATGTCCCTGCTCATTGCAGCAGGGTTGGAACTAGATATTCTTTAAGGTCCCTTCCAACCCAAACCATTTTATGTTTCTATGAAATCCTCCATATATCACATTTACAAGAGATGCAATATTAAATTCTCTTTGTTTCTGAAAGCCTGTTTGACATGAGTGCGTTAACACCATTTCCTTAACCAGTTTAACACCGTTCTTGAACACATGAATAAAAGACTTCTTTTTTTCCTTTTCTTAACAGATTTACCCTGTACTCCTGTATGCCCCATCCTCATAGCCCAGGACTGGAGACAGCTACCTTTTACCAAGAGATTAGTGTGCTTTTGGAAAATGTGCACCATTGTGATGGAGAAATATTTATCAATGGTGGCAGAGGTGACCATTCTGACAGTCCTATCTTTAACAACAGACTTCACAAAGAGAAAGGTCAATAGTTGGTATACAGGTACTATCATCACTGCAATAACTAGCCAGTAATCCAAATCACAGACAAATCTACAGTTCCACAGCTACTGAATTTACCTTCCCTGTGTACAAGAAGTTGCTTCTCTGCTACCCTCACCAAAATAAACACTCCCACTTTACTGCTCAGGATTAGGAAGGTAATTAAAACACGATATGATATGCAGAAACATGTACATCCATCTATGCAGGCCAAGAGAAGAATACTCAAGTAGAAAGTGTAACTGCCCGGATCTGCAACAACCCAAATTCAACAAAAGTATACTAGCAATCCTGAAAGGTATCTCAGATTTGACAGAAAACTGAAACGTACTCTTTTTTCTAAAATTTGTGCAATCCTCCAATGTGGGTCACAAGCAGTATAGAAAACCGATATATTCAGCCTCACATTCACATTTCAGATTTACTGTTTTACCTTGAGTTACACAAAAGACTGTTACTAGATGAAATACTAGATTCTGATGCACAGCGGCGGCGAGGTTCAACTTTTCTTCCCGGAGTATCATCTAACGCTCTCTCTTTATTTCCATCTCCAAAACCATTTGACAGACCTACGGCATAACACAAAAATAAATTGCATCAAACTGGAAACCACACCATTTTCATTAACATTTTTTTGTATTAATATACTGTATCATTATTGTTCTGTACTTCAAATATTTTGTTGTGATGAAAAAGAAAGAACATGAATATTAACAAAATATTTCTTTTCAAAACACAGTATTATAAATAGGAGGTTCCTGTAGTCCAGATTTTAAAGAGAGGATGAAAATTTAGGTAAAAAAGGTGAAGATTATAATATGGGAAATGCCAAATGGAATATCAAAACAGTCTTTGTATGTAATATTTCCAACTGTTAAGACAGTCAGGCTGCAGAAGCTGGGTAGGAAAACAAAAACAAAACACCAAAACCAAGAAAAAAGCATTACAAGTGAGGCAGATTTACCAAATCAACACAAAACTCATCTGAATACAATGTTACAACTGTAGGTCAAGAAATACTGAAAATCCTTTTCAAACACTAGAGGTAAAGAGAGGTAGGGATACCGTCCTGACACTATCTAGATCTTCCTCAAAGTCTTTCCATTTTCATAAATTCAGACTAACTTTATCATGTGTTTTCTGTGATCAACAATTAATAATATGCACATTACTATTTTTGACTATCCTTCCCCTGGCACAAGTTAATATACATCCAAGGACATTGTATTTTAATTTCATAATTGTACTGAAAATGTAAAAAAGGGTTTTATATTACAAGCTACTGATTTGATAGGCTGCCACCAATCCTGCTCTGTGTTTGCTGATTACAAATGGTATAGTTCTTATTAGTCCATTTCCATATTTGATTGAAGAGACAAATGAAGAGGTTTAAGATAGCATTCTGAAGACTTCCAGGGGGCTAGGAGGGAAATTAGAACTAAAAAAGAAAGAATCCAACACAGACTCAGGAGTATCAACAGAAATGAACTGGTTAAGACAATGGTACTAGCCTGCAATCAGCTATAGCAAGCTGTAGACTGCAAAGAGAAGAAAATTTTGACACAAATTCAGTTCTGAGCACACTTATTCCATTACAATAAATTGAAGTTATTACTGAAGGCATATAACCAGCATGCTTCTTATAGTGCAAGAAAAAGCTACCCATCCCAGCCATCCTATTACCAGAGTCTTAATGGTCATCATGATCTTTGTTCATTCAGACTTAGTCAAATAAGCTTATGTAACTTCACATGCTTCTCCACAGAGCATTATACCCTAAAACAAATGTGACAGAACTCCCTTTATTAAGTTCTAATTCTTCTAGTCTGTTTGCTACGAAGACCTCTGCAAAGAGGACTGATAACTAAGGAACTTGTGCTTAGCAAGTTACTTTCTACGATCCAGTCATATTTCAAGGCATTTCTGTAAAATGATTTAAGGAACTTCATCCTCCATCCCAGGAGATCTTCCATTTGGATTAGCAACACAATTTTAGATTTTCAAGAGAAAAAGGGGAATTTATTTAATGGTCTGAAAGATTTACAGATAAGCATTCTCTTTCACTGTCACTTAGTTGACATTGTAGAACATTTATTTAAGAGTGTCTCTTTTGTAACTCCTATATTTGCCTTTGATATCCTATACAAGAAAAAAAAATTATATATGTAACTGTCTTGAGTGTTCAGAGCACCAAACTACATGCTATTGATTAATCTTGTTCTCATTCTCAGCAAGTCAGTACAAATAGCTGAGGAGTTCAGTTCTAGACTATGCTGAACACCTGTCAAAACAGAGTATGTTTTGAAAGCCTCACCTCTGTGCCTGTGAAGATCATGGAACAGATCCTCCTAGAAGCATTGTTATGGCACATAGTGGACAGGGAGGTGATTTGAGACAGCCAGCACGGCTTCACCAAGGGCAAGTCCTGCCTGACCAACCTAGTGGCTTTCCACGATGGAGTGGCCACATCAGTGGACAAGGGAAGAACTATGGATGTTGTCTGTCTGGACTTCTGCAAAGCCTCTGACACGGTCCCTGACAACATCCTTCTCTCTAGATTGGAGAGATATGGATTTGACGGGTGGATTGTTGTGTGGATGAGGAATTGGTTGGATGGTTGTATCCAGAGGGTAGTGGTCAATGGCTCAATGTCCAGATGGACATCAGTGATGAGCGGTGCCCCTTAGGGGTCCGCACTGGGACCAGTACTCTTTTAATAGCTGAACAGTGCAGCTTACACATCTGAGGGTCGGCATGCCATCCTAGAGGGGCCTGGACAAGCTTGAGATATGGGCCTGTGTGAACCTCCTGAGGTTCAACAAGGCCAAGTGCAGGGTTCTGCAACTGGGTTGGGGCAACCCATTCTATCAGTACAGGCTGGGGGATGAAGGTATTGAGACCAGCCCTGCCGAGAAGGACTTGGGGTACTGGTGGGTGAAAAGCTGGACATGAAGCAACAATGTGTGCTTGTAGCCCAGAAGGCCAACCATCTCCTGGGCTGCATCAAGAGAAGCGTGGGCAGCAGGTTGAAGGAGGTGATTCTGCCCCTCTACTCTGCTCTGCTGAGACCCCACCTGGAGTCCTCTGTCCAGCTCTGGAGCCCTCAGCACAGGAAAGACATGGAGCAGGTTGGAGTGGGTCCAGAGGAGGGCCATAAAAATGATCAGAGGGTTGGAACACCTTGCCCATGGGGATAGACTGAGAGAGCTGAGGTTGTTCAGCTTGCAGAAGAGAAGGCTCCAAGGAGATCTTACTGCAGCCTTCCAGTACTTCAAGGGGGCTTATAAGAAAGAAGGGGACAGACTTTTTTACTAGGGCCTGTTGCGATAGGACAAGGGGTAATGGTTTTAATCTGAAAGAGGGTACATTTGCACCAGATCTAAGGAAGAAATTTTTCAGAAAGAGGGTGGTGAAATACTGACACAAGTTGTCCAGAGAAGTGGTAAATGCCCCATCCCATTCAAGGTCAGGTTGGACGGGGCTCTGAGCAACTTGATCTAGTTGAAGATGTCCCTGCTCATTGCAGGGGGGTTGGACTAGATGATGTTTAAAGGACTCTTTGAACCCAAAGATTCTATGCTTTATGAGAAAGCTTAAATTCCCCAACAAACTATCACAGTACACTTCACATAGCATCTGAAATAAAAAGCAGAAAAGACATTCTGTAAAGATAAAATGGAGGTCTCTTGGGCCTCTGCAAATAAGATATCTAAGAATAAAAAACAGTTATCACAACTATTTTTCAAGTGAGGTGCAGAAACTGTTTTGTTTTCATCCTGCCACAAGCCAGAGACACATTACTCAAGTTATCATTCAGGCATCTAACAGAAATCAGCTATCAGCAGAAACAAGTTAGATCACAGATTAAATTTTAAATTTAAAGACAGATTAAGTAAATATTGCTAACAGAACCAGAGCACAGTTCAGGTTTCCCAATGGACTGAGAAAAAGGAAGGAAAAATCTGTTTATTTTTGTAAGAGTTTGTATAAAATGTTTAACCATATGCATACCAAACAGGACTTGGGCTACATATATCTATGTACACCAGTTCCTTGTGTGTGTGTGTGTGTGTGTGTATATATCCAGGACAAAAAAAAAAAGGGGGGGCGAGTAGCTTCACATTTTGATTGCTTCAATCTGTTTATGAATGTGCTGCTGCCAAAACGGACATTTTGGTGCTCTCAGTCCCTTGCAATTGTTTCTTATCATCGTCATCATGTCAGTACTATGAAATACGTGATCATGTAATGAACTAGTTTTTAGCCATGCACTGGGAAAAGTAACCGTGTCATTGCCTGACTGCTCATGTTGAGAAACAAGGGAAGCAACAGAAACATGCAACTATAGCAATAGAGACAGCTCTCTCAAGTGGTAGTCCAGTCTTACACTAGTTTAAACATTACCTATATTATGTATTTAATGACTCATTTGATTCACTAACATTAGGTTTTTCAGATTACAGAAAGCAAAGTTTTTTCAATCTGTAAAATGGCCACTAGCAGTAAGAAAAAAACTGAATCCTTTTCTGACTAATAAGGAATATTAAAGTGAAAAGGAATTTAGAGTTTCTCAGACACATTTCTCTCTTGCTTGTGGAAGTATGAAAAACAAAGAACATGCAGGCTATCAGCAGGAGCAATTTTCCTGATTGTCAAGCCCTGAATGACATAAGCTTACACAGTCCATGAGACTCAGTTTATACAGTCCATTTTTCAGAAATTTTAAGGAATAGGCATTATTTTCAGAAAGGAAGACCTCAACGTTTATTTTGAAGAAAACACACTCACATCTAGTTACAGATGCAGTAGTTCTCAAGTGACCTTGTTACTTGACAGAAAAATCCAGGCAATAAAATGTAAGTGCTTTATGGTTTCACTGATGTGCAAAAAATAAGCCATATACTACACTTACATGTTATGACTGGGAATTTTGTCTATTAGATCATTATAAAACTCTTTCTCCCATGAATCAAGAAACGCCCAATCCCCTGTAGCTACTAGAATAAGTGAGATTAAAGAAGATCCCTGTTTGCTTTAGGGAATTTGCATTTTACTGGATAAAAGATACTGCTAAGAAGTCAAATAAAGAAAATCAATGGGAGAAGTTAACTCACCCTGCTTTTGTGGATTAGTAGCCTGAATAAGCCTGCAACAAACCTACATGAGTCATTTACATTTTCCAAAAGCTCATGGCTTTGTTAGATCAACTGAGCTTTCTCTACAGTCACAGAGAGAATCTTTATTAGGGCAGGTACTGAGCTTCTTCCACATACACCCCCCTCCCCCTCCAAGCATCAAACTAAAACCTCTCATTAGTGGATGATTCCTTTTTGTTTTCCCTTCTGTTCTTAACTTTCTTCAAAAAGCAGTCCTCTCTGAGGCAGAGCTCAGCTTTCTTTCATTTAAAGAAACCAACAAACAGAATCCACAAATAGTGAAGTCTGCTATCCATCTTAAATGCAGGGTTACTGCCATTTCCAGTCTTCAGCTCTAGGCTTCACTTTTCATAGAAAGTTTACTGCTGTGTCAATCATGGCACGTAATGCATGGAACCATTTTAAAAATAAAG